GTGGCTTTACCTGCTACACCACAATGCTGGCCCCTGCTGTTGTTAATTATAAGCCCTAGCATATGACTTGAACTTGGTCTTATGTAACTGACATTTTATTCCCTTTGAATAGCAATTCCTCAATTTCTCTTCTCAGTATTTGGTAGCCTGTTTCTATGAGTCTATTTCGGATGCCTCATATAAGTGGAATCATGTAGCACTTGTATTTCTGTGCCTGGTGTATCTCAACACAGTGACCTTCAAGTTCATCCAGGGTGTTGTGTAGGGCTGGATTTCCTCCCTCTTTTAGCTGTGTAGTATTCTGTTATGTATAAATACCTCATTTTCCTTGACCGTTCAAGTGCTAATAGGCACTTAGGTTGATTTTGTATCTCAACTGTTGTGAATGCTGCTGCAATGAATGTGGGAGTACAGACATCTCTTTCATATACAGATGTCAGCTCTTTTATTTTTATTTACTTGAAAGACAGGGTTACAGAGAGGTAGAGTAAGCAAGGTCTTCTCCTTCTGCTGATTCACTCCCCAGATAGGTGCAACAGCCGGAGTTGAGCTGATCTGAAGCCAGGAGTTTCTTCTGGGTCTCTCATGTGGGTTCAGGGGCCCAAGGACTTGGGTCATTCTCTGCTGCTTTCCCAGGTGCTAGTGCAAGTTCAGGGAGATGGATTGGAGGTGGAGCAGCTCGAACTCAAACTGGCGCCCCATCCCATAGGATGCTGGCACTGCAGGCTGGGGATTTAACTCGCTGAGCCACAGTGCCAGCCCTTGATGTCAATTCTTTTGAATATATATGCCAATAGTAGGATTATTGGTACATGAATTCTATTTTTAATTTTTTAAAGAACCATAAACCTATTTTCCATAGCAGCTGTACTATCTTACATTCCCACCAACCTGTATGAAGTTTCCAATTGCTTTATCTCCTTGCCAATACTTACCCTTTGTTGTTTTTATTTTGATAACATCAGACCGTATGTCTGATAGGATAATAATCCAAAACATATAAGTACAGCTCAATAGCAAGGAACCAAACAATCCTAATAAGAAATGGGCAAAGAACTTGAAAAGATAGTTTTCCAAAATAGATGTACAAATGGCCAACAGGGGCTGGCGCCGTGGCTCACTAGGCTAATCCTCCACCTAGCGGCGCCGGCACACCAGGTTCTAGTCCCGGTCGGGGCGCCAGATTCTTTCCCGGTTGCCCCTCTTCCAGGCCAGCTCTCTGCTATGGCCTGGGAGTGCAGTGGAGGATGGCCCAAGTGCTTGGGCCCTGCGCCCCATGGGAGACCAGGAGAAGCACCTGGCTCCTGCCATCAGATCAGCGCGGTGCGCCGGCCGCAGCGCACCGGCCATGGCGGCCATTGGAGGGTGAACCAACGGCAAAGGAAGACCTTTCTGCCTGTCTCTCTCTCACTGTCCACTCTGCCTGTTAAAAAAACAAAAAAACAAAACAAAACAAATGGCCAACAGGTATGTGGAAAGGTGGTCGATGTCACTGTTGAGGAAAAGCTTTTGTGGAAAGCCCATCCCCCACCCACCAGGGTGGTTGCAAGTAGAAGTGGCATGAACCGCACGGCGCTTGGGCATTGCTGCCACTGCCTTTCCCTGCTTTCTGAGCCTGGCAGACAGGGGCTTCACAAGGATTTGTTTTTGCAAACTGTTACTGCCGGCCAGAGAAGCTATGGACCTAGATTGCATGATAGGTTTGCAGAATGGGTACGTCCTGGTCACTGGTTCATGACTGGGCAAAGCACACATGAAGGAAGCCCAAGTTGGGGCTGTGAAGCCGAGAAGGAGGCGGCTCATGGTTGTACCAGTCCCACTCACTAGGCGTGTTTCATTTTAGGGATGATTCTGCTTTCAAGGGTGACAGAAAGCAAGCAAGAAGAATGTCGGTAATGAAATAACTTCTATTCTAAGACAATATATCACAAATTTCAATTACTTGTATACCATCTTCAGAATGTGCTATGGCTCGGTTGTTATCTGTGTTTTTCCTTGAGTTTTTTAAGATTTATTTGAGAGGCAGAGTTATAGGCTGGCGCCGCGGCTCACTAGACTAATCCTCTGCCTAGCGGCACCGGCACACCAGGTTCTAGTCCCGGTCGGGGCGCCGGATTCTGTCCCGATTGCTCCTCTTCCAGGCCAGCTCTCTGCTGTGGCCAGGGAGTGCAGTGGAGGATGGCCCAGGTGCTTGGGCCCTGCACCCCATGGGAGACCAGGAAAAGCACCTGGCTCCTGGCTCCTGCCATCGGATCAGCGCGGTGCGCCGGCCGCAGCGCGCCGGCCGCGGCGGCCATTGGAGGGTGAACCAACGGCAAAGGAAGACCTTTCTCTCTGTCTCTCTCTCTCACTGTCCACTCTGCCTGTCAAAAAAAAAAAAAAAAAAGAGGCAGAGTTATAGACAGAGGTCTTCCACCCACTGGTTCATACCCCAAATGTCTGCAATGGACGGAGCTGAGCTGATCTGAAACTAGGATTCAGGAGCTTCTTCCAGGTCTCCCAGGTGGGTGCAGAGGCCCAAGCACTTGGGGCATCTTCTACTGCTTTCCCAGGGCATTAGCAGGGAGCTGGAATCAAAGTGGAACAGCCAAGATTCAAACAGGTGCTACAGGTAGAGGCTTAACCTACTATGCCACAGCGCCAGCCCCTTGAGTTTTTCTTAAACTCCTTTTAACCTTTTAAAATAAATGAACAAAACCTTTTATTTTACTTTGAACTGGATAACCAGCATTACTTGTTACAAATTGTAGCTAGGCCTCCAAATAATAGGTAAAAATAACCAGTGTTAGCCTATTGAACTACACTGTCTATTGACTTGTTTTTTATTCATTATATAAAATGACCTTATTAGCTGAACTATGAAAAGGTAAATCTGCCACCCTCGGGCTCTCTGGTTAGATGGACAGATTGATGAGCCCAGTCAGTAGTCTCAGCAGGAGTTTAGTGTTTCATGTGTGTTCTTATTTGATGGCAAATAGGTCATGGGAGATTGAGAGTCCTTTAGTTAGTCCTGTGCAACTGTAGCAAGCATTCATTCAGCTTCGTAGAGTTTGCTCACCGGAGGAAAGATGATGGGTAGTAGACACAGTGGTCCCATCTTACTCATGAGGGCTGTGTTCCAAGACCCCTAACAGAAGCCTGAAATGACAGGTAGTCCAGAACCCCTGTATCTTTTCCTAATCATACATACCCATGAGAAAATTTGACTTAGAAATTAGACATAGAGATTAGCAATGATAGCTAGTGGGAGTGATAAGTTTTGTTGAATGTGATCTTTCTCAATGTCTTTCTATTCTGTATTCACTCTTCCTTGATGACATAACACGATGTCTACCTGATGTGAAGGGAATGACATACTCAGAATGGCCCACAGTTTAAAACCCAGGATTATTTCTGGGATTTTTCCTTTTAGTATTATCCTGACCATTGTTCACCATTGATAATCAGACCAAAGAAATCAAAACCACAATTAGGGATAATACTGCTCTCTCACTCATAAGTGAAGTCTTGGGTGAGACTGGGCACTGCTCATGGTAACTGGCACTTACAGCCAGCTACAGCAATTTATTATTTTTTAAAAAATATTTATCTACTTGGGAGTCAAAGTTAGACAGAGAAGGAGATAGGGAGAGAGAGAAGCCTTCCATCCACTGGTTTACTCCCCAATTGGCTGCAAAGGCTGGAGTTGCACCAATCCGAAGCCAGGAGTTTCTTATAGGTCTCCCACGCAGGTGCAGGGGCCCAAGGTCTTGGGCTATCTTCTGCTTTCCCAGGCCACAGCAGAGAGCTGGATTGGAAGTGGAACAGCTGGGACTAGAACTGGTGTCCATATAGAATGCCAGCAGCTTTACCTGCTATGCCACAGTGCCGGTCCCTACAGCAATTTTTTTACATCAAGAAATGTAGAGTTGGTAATGTCTCTTTCCCATTGTGTCCCATTGTCCTGTATATAGGATACCTATAAAGACTTAAATTGAACAATAAATATATCACTCATGGTAACTTTGACATAAATATTGCATCATCGAATATTTGCAGAATTGAAAATTTAGTCGGTTAAAACACTCTCCTTTAAAAAAAAAAAAAAAACAAACCTATATTAAGCTTTGTGCCTAAAGCTTGCTTTAACTTTGTTAGACTGGTAAGTAGAAGAAAAATGTTAGACTTATTAGCACTTAGACATCTGAATAGATGAATCCTGTTTAAGAATTGAAGAGTGGCCCTCGACCTAGTGTTAAGACCAGTGTCCAGATGTCAATATCCCATATCGGAGCCCGGCTCCAGATTCAAGCTTTGTGCCAGTGTAGACCCTGGTAGGCTGTGGTGACAGCTGAAGTAGTTGGGTCTCTGCCCCTAAGAGGTAGTCTTGGATTGAATTCCTGACTCCTGGTTTTGAGCCTAGCCTGGCCCTGGTTGCTGTGGGCTTTCTAAACAGCAGATGGGAACTCTATTCCTTCTTTCTGCTTGCCTGCCTCTCTGTCTTTTTTTGCTTCTCAAATTGAAAAGAAACATTGTACTCTGAGCCCGTATTGTTTAGGGCCATAGCTCTGTGCCCATGTACACCAAATGACACTTGTCCTGTGTGTGACCACTGGTGACCTCTTTGGGAGGCACAATGCTCTGTAGTCAGTTTATTTTTAAAAGAATCTCTGAATATTCAATGAATTTTCCTAAGCTGAGTTTGTGGGTTTCAAACAAACATGGTAAGGCTTTCTCCAGCTTTCTCTTAGCTGTGCCTTTTACCTTCTGCCCAGGCCTCAGGTTGTCCTCCCCTGGGGAGTTGGAGAAGCTCTGAAAGTCTGGTGCTCCTTCTCTGAAGGGAGGAAGGAACCTCCATTGTGATACGGCCTTGACTAAACAAGTTCAGTGTTGGTGGACTCAAGAGGCTTCCATAGCCTCGACAGCTCATGGCAAGAGCCTCGGGTGATTACTGACATCATAAACAAGAGTGTCAATTGTTAAATCAACAACAGGAGTCACGGGGCACATGCTCCCCACATAGGATCTCTGTCCTTAATGTGTTTTACTATGAGAGTTAAGAACAACCCTACTAGTCGAACAATACCCTATACCTTGAGCGGTTGTGTGAGGGCAGCCTGTTGAAATCCTTGCTTAGTGTATACTAAGTTGATCTTCTGTATATGAAGGTAATTGAAAATGAAACTTGATGAAGGGTGGGATGGGAGAGGGAGTGGGAGAGGAGAGGGCCGCAGGAGGGAGGGAGGCTGGGGGGGGCCCACAACAATACAAAAGTTGCACTTTGTAAATTCACATCTATTAAATAAAAATTATTTGCAGCAACTTTGATACACATTGAAAAAAAAGCCTGCTGTCTTCAGCGACTTTTAAAGATTTGTTTTAAAAACAGAATGATGGTGTGCGTGTGTGTATAGAGAGATTGAGAGAGAGAGATTGAGAGAGAGATCTATCTGCTGGTTTCATGCCCCAAATGCCTGTAACAGCCATGTATAGGCCAGGCTGAAGCCAAGAGCTAGGAATGCCATCCTGGTTCCCTACCAGGTGGTAAGGACCCAAGTACTTGGCTCATCTTTGCTGCCTTTCTAAGCACATGGACAGGAAACTGGGTTTGAAATGGAAAAACCAGGACTTGAACCAGCCCTCTGATATGGGACGCTGGCACTGGAAGCGGTGGCTTAACCTGCTGCACCACAATGCCAGCCCTCAGATTCTTAACTTCATTGGTCTGCAGCAATGTCCAGGAATTTGGATTTCTTTCAAATCCCCCTCCTGGTGATCCTGTTGTGTGGCCAAATTTACAAACCATTGCTCTAGATACTTGTGTTGTAAACAACCTTCAACAATTTTTGATGTAAAACCATAGAAATTGAGAGCCCTGTTGCATGAGGGTTTTTTGTTTTAAAGATTTGTTTGGAAAGCAGGATGACAGACATATATACAAACAGAGAAATCATCCATCCACCAGTTCACTCCCTAAATGCTCACAACAGCTGGGGCTGGAATAGGCCAAAGCCAGAGGCTAGGAACTTCATCCAGGTCTCCTGTATGGACAGCAGGGACCCAAGGACATGGCCCATCTGCTGCCTTCCCAGGCACATTAGCAGAAGTTAGATCAGAAGTAGAGGGAGGGGGCTGATGCTGTGGTGTAGTGGGTAAAGCTGCCGCCTGCAGTGCTGGCATCCCATATGGGCACTGGTTTGAGTCCTGGCTGTTCCACTTCCCATCCAGCTCTCTGCTATGGCCTGGGAAAGCAGTAGAAGATGGCCCAAGTCCTTGGGCCCCTGCACCCAAGTGGGAAACTGGGAAGAAGCTCCTGACGTCAGAATGGCACAGCTACAGACACTTGGAGAGTGAACCGGTGGATGGAAGATCTGCCTCTGCCTCTGCCTTTCCAACTCTGCCTTTCAAATAAAGTCTTTAAAAAAAAAAAAAAAGTAGAGGAACCAGGACTGAAACCAGCACTTTGATAGGGAATGTAGATTTAACGGCTGTGTGGCAATGCCTTCCCTACTTCATGGTTTGTTAATTGCAAGCATTAAGTGAACTGAAGTTTGCGGTTTACTAGACACTGGGCTGAAGAACTCTGGAGCAAATGAGCAAGTTCCCCCAAGCTTTGTTTTACTCGCTCTTCTCTCTCTCCTCCCTCCTTCCCTCCCTTAAGAGTAAGATGCAAATAGACCTGGCTCCCCAAGTTCCTTTTAGAACTTAACTTCTCTAATTAACCTAAGCATTCATCACTGGAAATGTAGTACAGATATGCGACAGAATACTGTCCATTCTTCAAAAGGAAGAAAATCCCGATACTGTGACAACGTGGGCAAACCTGGAGACCATGATATTAAGTGAAATAAACCAGGCTCACGAAGACAAATGCTACATGCTATCATTTATATGTGGAATCTAAAGAAGTTACATTTCTCAAAGCAGAGAGTAAATTGGTGGTGGGGGTGGAGGACAGGCAGTGGGAGACTGGGAAGACGTTCATCAAAGGATATGAAGTTTCTGTTAAGATGAATAAATTCAAAGATTGCTGTGTATCACATTGACTATAGTTACCAACAGTATTTTGCATACTTGAAAATTGCTGAGAAAGTAGATTTTAGGGTAGTCTCATGACAGAATATCATAAATATCTATAGTAAAAATGTTAATTAGCTTGATTTAGGCATTCCACAGTATGTATCAAAACATCATGCTGTATCATAAAGAAACTTTCGTCAGAGAAATTCTTTTCTGTGAAATACTGAACTGCTAAACATTTTAAAGGAGGAGTTGTTAGGTTTCCCGAAAAAGGATTCATTTGAAAGTCAGATAATTGTCCATCATTCACCTTAAATGGTGTGGGTCATACTGTCAGGAACAAGGATGGTATTGGTCCAGTCCTAACCTAGTGACGGCCTCGGGAGCTGATTCTGCATGTTTTCATTTCACGACAGATGCACTTCCTGAGATGACTAGGTGAGATTCAGAGGATTCCATCTTGGCTGGGAATGAGTTGGAAATGAGTTGTTACCAGTTGAGTGGTGGAGGTCCTAGAAAAACATGATGGCTTGAGGCTGGACCCTTTGACAGGGCTAGATGGAGCTCAGATGGAGTGGACTTTTTGTCAGGATCAAAACAAATTCTATTTGAAAACAAAGCAATCATTTGTTACAGCATTTATAAAAAGTAATGCAAAAATATAAAAGACTTATAAATATCAAAGTACAGTTGACTAACCCACTAGACAGCCTAAATTTGTGCCAAATCTCTAATATTTTGACAGTCCAGTCTTAATTTCAAAACACTTCTATTTAGTTCTTTACTGTCTTGTAATTTTCATCATATGGATCTTTGACATCTAGGATGAATTTATTCCAAGTATTTAATTTCATTCAGAGCTATTGTGAATGAGATTGATCTTAGAAGTTCTTTCTCAGCCATGGCATTGTCTGTGTATACAAAGGCTGTTCATTCTTCTTTGTTGAATTTATATCTTGTCACTTTACCGAACTCTTCTGAGTTCCAATAGCCTGTCAGTGGAGTCATTTGGATCCCCTATGTATATAGAATCATGTCATTTGCAATCAGGGATAGTTTGATTTCTTCCTTTACAATTTGTATCCCTTTGGTTTCTTTTTTCTTGCCTGATGGCTCTGGCCATAATTTCCAGGACTATTTTAGGTAGCAATGTTGAGAGCAGGCATCCTTGTTTGGTTCCAGATCATAGGTGGAATGAATCCAGTTTCCCCCCATTCTCTACAGGCTGTTGGCCATGGTTTGTCATAGATTGCCTTGATCTGAGCAATAGTCCTCCTATGAAACATGAAAGGATGTTGCATTTTTATCAAGTGCTTTCTCTGCATCTATTAAGATAACCACATGGTTTTTGTTCTTCATTTTGTTAGTGTGATGTATAGCATTTATTAACTTGTAAATGGTGAACCATCCCTGCATAGCAGGTATAAATTCCACTTGGTCTGGGTAAATGATCTTTTTGGTATGTTGTTGGATTTGAATGGCTAGTATTTTGTCAAGGATTTTTGCATCTTTGTTTACCAGGGAAATTGATCTATAATTTCTTTCTTGTATCTTTTTCAGGTTTAGTTATTAAGGTGATGCAGACTCCATAGAGGGAGTTTGGGAGGATTTCCTCCCTTTCAATTGTTTTGAATAGCTTGAGGAGAATTGGAATGAGTTCTTCTTTAAATGTCTGGTAGAATTCAGCAGTGAAGCCATCCAGTCCTGGGCTTTTCTTTGTTGGGAGGGTCTTTATTACTGATTCAATTTCCTTCTTGGTTATTTAGGTTTTCTATGTCTTCATCACTCAATTTTGGTAGATTGTATGTGTCTAGGAATCTATCCATTTCTTCTAGGTTTCCCAGTTTGTTGGCATACAGCTGCTTGTAGTAATTCCTGATGATTCTTTTAATTTCCGTGGGGTCTATACTTATATTTCCTTTTTCATCTCTAATTTTGATTTGGGTCTTCTCCCTCTTTTTTTGGTTAGTTGGGCCAATGCTGTGTCAACTTTAAGAAAACTAGCCTTCATTTCACTGATCTTTTATACTGTGTTTTGGGTTTCAATTTTGTTTATTTTCTAATTTTAATTCTAATTTTGAGTTGGTTTTTATAGGTCCTTGAGATGCATTGAAAGCTCATTTGGTACCTTTCGAATTTCTTCATGTAGGCACCAATTGCTATAAACTTTCCTCCTAACACTGCTTCCACTGTATCCCGTAGGTTTTCATATGATATATTCATTTGTTTTCAGAAATTTTTTGACTTCTCTTGATTCCTTCAATGACAATGTTCATTCAGGAGCATGTTTTTCAGTCTCCATGTGTTTGCATATGATCTAAAGACTTTTGAGTTGTTGATTTCCAGCTTCATTCCATTGTGGTCAGAGAAGATGCATTGTATGATTTTGATTTTATTTTGAATTTGCTGAGACTCCTTTATGGCCTAGCATGTGGTCTATCATAGAGAGAGTTCCATGCTCTGATGAGAAGAAAGTGTATTTCCAACTGTGGGTTGAGAAGTTCTGTAGATGGTATGTATACACACTATGAAGTACTACTCAGCTGTTAAAAAAAAAAAAAAAAAACCTGTCTTTGCAACAAGATGGACACAACTGGAAATCACTACTTTTAATGAAATAACCCAGTCCCAAAAAGGCGTCATATGATTTCCCTAATGTAACTAATAAGAGTACCTAAAACGTAACGTATTGAAGTGAAATGGACATTTTGAAATTCGGTGATTGTTTATAGTTCTTGTCTCTTTTGGTGAGGAACTGTGTTTTTTTTCATACTATTTGTTGAACTCTTCTACTTAGTCTAGGGTTAACTATATGATCATTAAGTAGGCAGAAAATAGATCTTTGTAAAAAATTAAGAGTGGGAATGTGAGAGGGAGGAGAAAGAAGGTTTGGAGCATGAGAGGGAAGGTAGGGGGAGATGCATCACTATGTTCCTAAATCTGTATATGTAAAATACATGAAACTTGTATATTAAATAACCATTTACAGAAAATGGGAAAAACACTATTTTTTAAAAAAAATCTAAAGACTTATTTATTTGAAAGGCAGAGTTAGAGATAGGGGAAGAGACAGAAATTTTCTATCCACTGGTTCACTCCCCAAATGTTCACAATGGCTGGAACTGGGCCAGGCTAAGTTGAAGCCAGGAGCCAGAAACTCCATCTGGGTCTCCTGTGTGGGTGGCAGGAGCCCAAGCACTTGAGCCATCATCTACTGCTTTCCCAGACACATTAACAGAAACCTGGACCAGACGTTGAACAGCTGGGACTCAAACTGGCATTCATATGGGATGGCAGTATCACAAGTGGTGGCTTAGCCCTCTGTGCCACGACACCTGCCCCTACTTTCATGTTTAAACAGAAATAATCCCCCTGTTTGGTTTTTCTTGTAAGGTGTAGAGGGGATTTTCTTTGCTGTATGTATAAATACATACACACACACATTTATTTATTTGAAATGCAGGGTGACAGACATCTTCCATCTGCTCATTCACTCCCCATATTGCTGCAACAGCTGGCTAGGGCTTGTCCAGACCCAAAATCAGGAACCTGGAACTCCATGCAGGGCTCTCACATGGTGGCAGTGCCCGAGCACTTGGGCCATCCTTTGCTGCTAAAGTGCATTAGCAGGGCCTGCGTGGGATGCAGAGCACCTGGGACTTGCTGGCGCTCCAATATGGGCATTGCAAGCAGCAGCTTAAGTTGTGCCACAATACCAGACCCTAAAAAATGCTTTTATAGCTGCTTTTGTTATTTTTGTTAGAGTTGGCACAACCTTCAAGATACTAACATCGCAGTTGGAAATACCTGAGGGAATTTTGTCATTCTTTTCATAATGTCTGGGTTGAGAGTAATCTCATGGAATAATCTTTTCTTCTTCTCTTTGCTTCTGAATCATTTCATTGTGTGAGTCACTTCTCTTATGTCTAACTTGGCAGTAATAAACTTACTCTACATAAATGGCACCAACACCCTGTTAGCAGCTTTCATTTATCATTGCACTCGTGTCTTTGACAGTCCAGTTACAGGAAGCATCTCTTTTCTGAGAGTAATGAAGATTCAAGTAGTAGTGCCAGTGATCGATCTTGGACCAGTAACCAAAAGAAGAAGTCCCTGATACCGTATCCTAGCAGAAGACAAAAGACCAGAGTCAGAAGCAGTGGAAGAAGTAAGTTTAGTGTTTGTCGTCTGAGTCATTTCTCAAATCGGCCAGCAGGTGTTAGTTTTTCGGTATGTGCTATGAAAGGGCACCAAAGAAATACATAATCCTGGAACCTTTCCCTTTCTCTGTCTCACAATTAACTTGGAATGGCAAAATGAACATACATGAAGCAGAGAAGAATTTGGGATGGACCAGCAATTGGTAAGTGTGAGTTACAGATAAATGGAGGGGAATCTGGCACGAGCTGGAGTCAGCAGGAAATCTTTGACGAAGAGGGAGGTGAGACATGAGAAGGAATGGGATTTGAAGAGCAGAGAAGGTGGGGAAACAATCCTGTGAGACCTCAAGGCTCTGGGGGTGGTGTTCAGAGATAAAGCCTGGGGCAGAGTCCTGCAGGGTGGTGAGGAACGAGGCTGAACAACTTGGAAGGGATATGCAGGCAGCATTTGGGAAGGGGAAGATGTTCCAGGCATTGTCCTGCACACCTGGGAGAGGGAGAGTGGAATTTCTATGTGTCCTTTAAGGAAACATACTCATTTTCTTGCTTGCTTGCTTGCTTTCTAAGATTTACCTTATTTGAAGGCAAAGTTGGAGGAAGAGATAGTCTTCCATCTGCTGGTTCACTCCCAAATGGCTGGAATTGGGCCAGACAAAAGCCAGGAGCTTCTTCCAGGTCTCCCACGTGGGTGCAGGGGCCCAACCACTTGGGCCATCCTCCACTGCTTTCCCAGGCACATTAGCAGGGAGCTGGATCAGCAGTGGAGCAGCTGGGACTCGAACCATTGCCATATGGGATGATGACCTTGCAGGTGGTGGTTTCACCTTCTACAGCCCATACATTTTCTTTCTTTTCTAGTTTTGCCACTTTTCTCTCTTGGCAGTGCCAGCGATCGTGAGAAAAACCAGGTAAATGAATTTCCTCTGGGCTGCCATGCACTCTTTGGGGATAAACTGCACTCACTTCTCAGATTTTCGGGGATATGAGAAAAACAAACTGGTTTAATGGCATGTAAATGACTGCCATAGAACTGCAAGGACTAAGTGTCTAGCATGAATTGCTGATTTCTATAAATATTACTTTTCAAAACATTAAAGGGTCAGAAAAGTTTTTCTGTAAAGGGCTAAATAATAAAACATTTGTAAAACGTTTATTTTATTGGGGAAATGGAGTTGGTGGTGGGTGGGTGCAGAGAAGGAGATGGATAAAGAGACACTTAATCGGCTGGCTGATTTCTCACATGCCTGCAGCTGCAAGGGTTGGGCCAGGCGGAAGCCAGGAGCCTGGAACTCCATCCAGGACTCCCATGTGGGGAGCAGGGGCCCAAGCACTTGAGCTGACATCCTCTGCCTGCTGGGATGGGTTAGCAGGAAGCTAGGTGGGATGAGAGTAGAGGGCCTGGGGCTCCAGGCAGCACTTTGATATGGGATGCAGGCATCCCAAGAGGTAGCTTAACTTGCTGTACCACAATGCTCACCAGTTTGCTTGCATGCTTGTTTTACTTAAAAGGCAGAGAGAGAGGAGTAAATATTTTAGGCTTTGCAGGCCATGTTGTTTCTGTGTCAACAAATCATCTCCTCCTTTGTAACCCAAAAGCAATCATAGTGTGGAAATGAAAGGGTGTCCTGTGTTCCAATAACACTTCGTCAGCAAGAGCAGGCCGTGGGTTAGACCAAGTCCTGGTTCTCCAGCTTCAGTGGCCCTCAAGGTGACCAGGATGCTTTGTTGAAGCACAGATTGCCGAGTCCTGTACCCAGAGTTTCCGACTGAGTGGATCATAGAGAATTTGCGAATTTGCACTTCTATCAAGTTGCCAGGTGTTTCTGATGCTCTAGTTCCAGACCATATTTTGAGAACTGCTCATTTATAGTAGTCAATCAGAATAAGATCTAAATATTTAATTTCAAATGCTTAAGCATTGAATACTTAAACTGCTTAGACACTGAACATGTCTTGGAGTTTCTTTTTTTTTTTTTGATAACTTGTTTTGAATGGTTATGAATATTAACACTTAAAAAAGGTACTATATTTTTGGCTAAACGTCTGATTCCGTTACAGAAGGACACATCCAGTCAGAATGCCGCACCAGCAGAAATTCCTGAAACAAAATTGCAGGGGAGTCCTGCCACCGTAATTCCTGAAGATTCTTCCCAGAGAACAGGTACATGATTTTCTGTTGATTTGTGTAGGAGATTATATATACACACACATACACACACACACACACATATGTGTGAATATAGGTAAAAGTACTCTGTGGCAAACAAAAACATTTTTCTTTTAGTGTCTGTCAAGGAAAGTATAAATATGATTGTCTCTGCAAAAAGGATATGAAGGTTTATGGATCTTAATATATTTGAAATTTTAGAAGTCTTTAATGTGATACTAATACACATTAGCAGAACGTTAATACACATTAAGAGAACAGATTCCATGTACTTCATAGATACAGTTCTAAGAATGTAATGACTTTCCATGCCTAAAATACTCTCATGGGCTCTTCAGCCATATATGAATGCCTTAAGGGCTGATTCTGAGGCCAGAGTGCTGTTTAGGAATCTGCCATTCTATGAGTCTGCTTTGTATCCCACTTTTTTTTTTTTGACTTTTATTTAATGAATATAAATTTCCAAAGTACAGCTTATGGATTACAATGGCTTCCCCCCCATAACGTCCCTCCAACCCACAACCCTCCCCTTATCCACTCCCTCTCCCCTTCCATTCACATCAAGATTCACTTTCGACTCTCCTTACATACAGAAGATCAGTTTAGCATACATCAAGCAATGATTTCAACAGTTTGCTCCCACACAGAAACACAAAGTGAAAAATACTGTTTGAGTACTAGTCATAGCATTAAATCTCAATGTACAGCACACTAAGGACAAAGATCCTATATGAGGAGTAAGTGCACAGTGACTCCTGTTGTTGACTTAACAAATTGACACTCTTGTTTATGGCCTCAGTAATCACCCTAGGCTCTTGTCATGAGCTGCCAAGGCTATGGAAGCCCCCTGAGTTCACTGACTCTGATCATTTTTAGACAAGGCCATGGTCAAAGTGGAAGTTCTCTCCTCCCTTCAGAGAAAGGCACCTCCCTCTTTGATGACCCATTCCTTCCACTGGGATCTCACTCACGGAGATCTTTCATTTAGGTTTTTTTCCCCCCAGAGTGTCTTGGCTTTCCATGCCTGAAATACTCTCATGGGCATTTCAGCCGGATCCGCATGCCTTAAGAGCTGATTATGAGGCCAGAGTGCTGTTAGGACATTTGCCATTCTATGGGTCTGCTGTGTATCTCACTTCTGAAGAGCCCATGAGAGTATTTTAGGCATGGAAAGCCAAGACACTCTGGCAAAAAAAAAAAAAAAGGAAAGAAAGAAAAGAAAGAAACCTAAATGAAAGATCTCTGCGAGTGAGATCCCAGTGGAAAGAACAGGCCATCAAAGAAGGAGGTACCTTTCTCTGAAGGAAGGAGAGAACTTCCACTTTGACTATGACTGTGTCTAAATAAGATCAAAGTCGATGAACTCAAAAGGCTTCCATAGCCTTGGCAACTCATGACTAGAGCCTAGGGAGATTACTGACGCCATAAACAAGAGTGTCAAATTGTTAAGTCAATAACAGGAGTCACTGTGTACTTACTCCTCATGTAGGATCTCTGTCCTTAATGTGTTGTCCAATGTTAATTAATGCTATAACTAGTACTGAAACAGTATTTTACACTTTATGTTCTGTGTGGGTGCAAACTGATAAAATCTTTACCTAATATATACTAAATCGATCTTCTGTATATAAAGAGAATCGAAAATGAATCTTGATGTGAATGGCATGGGAGAGGGAGCGGGAGATGGGAGGGGTGTGGGTGGGAGGGAAGTTATGGGGGGGAAAAACCATTGTAATCCATAAACTGTACTTTTGAAATTTATATTTACTAAATAAAAGTTAAAAAAAAAAAAGAATGTAATGACACCTCCCTCCTTTCCTCCCTGCCTTTTTTTAATTTTTGACATACCATCTTCTTAAATTTGTATTATGGTCAAAGGCTTAATGCTCCACTAAAGAGTTCAACAAGTTAAAGTCAAAAGACTAGTTCAGTGGGAATTTGGGCAAGGGCTAGGGCGAGGAACAATAATCAAATGAAAAATGCCTACTTCATTCATATCCAGTGAATTTTTAAATAATCACAGGTCATTAAAACTGTAGTAGTATATCATTCTTAACCATTGTTTTGACAAAGGTATAGAGTTTGACCAAACTGTGTGGTAGAAATACAGAAAGTATTTGACAAAATTCGAAATCACTTTATAAAGAAACTCTGGACAAATTAGGTGTATACGGACCTGAACCTTAGCATGATAAAGGCTAACAGCTAACATCATGTCCACAGCTAACATCATAGTTAGTGGTGAGAAGTTGAAAGCTTTTCCTCTAAGATCAGAGTACTAGAAGTCTTAGCTAGAGCAATTAGGCAGGGGGGTAAACAGGCATCCAAATTGGAAAGGAGGAAGTTAAATTATCACTGTTTGCTGGTGAATTGATCTTTGTATGGGAAATGCCAAAGACTACAAAAAACCTGTTAGAACTAATAATTCAGTAAAGTTGCAGGACACAATCAAACTACAAAAATTTCATATTTTTATATACTAATAATGAACTATCTGGAAAAACAAATCAAGAAAATCCCATTCCATTTATAGTAGCATCCAAAAGAATGAAAAACTCAGCAATAAATTTAGGCAAGGGGTGAAAGATTTGTATATTGAAAACTGTAAGACATTAATGAAATAAGTTGAAGACACAAGTAAGCAGAAAGATCCCCCATGTCCATGGATTGGAATAATTAGATGTTGCTCAGATGGCCATATTACCCAAAGCAACTTACAGATTCAATGAAATGCATATCAAAATTTCAATGGCACTTTCCACAAAAAGAGAAGAAACAATCCTTCAGTTTGTGTAGGAACTCAAAATACCTCAATAGCCAAAACAGGCTTGACAGAGCAGAACAAAGCTGCTTGACTTTAAGCTATATTTACAAAACTCTAGAAATAGAAACAATATGATACCGGTATGAAAACAGACACAGAACTGATAGCACAGCTAAAGACTAGTTGCCTGTAATGTGTGTGGTTTTGCTTCTGAGCTAATAATACACAGTGAGTGAAGGAAAGTTTCTTGAGATTCAGTCTTTTTTTTTTTTTTTTTTTTTTTTTTTTTTGACAGGCAGAGTGGACAGTGAGAGAGAGAGACAGAGAGAAAGGTCTTCCTTTGCCGTTGGTTCACCCTCCAATGGCCGCCGCGGCCGGCGCGCTGCGGCCGGCGCACCGCGCTGATCCGATGGCAGGAGCCAGGAGCCAGGTGCTTTTCCTGGTCTCCCATGGGGTGCAGGGCCCAAGCACCTGGGCCATCCTCCACTGCACTCCCTGGCCACAGCAGAGGGCTGGCCTGGAAGAGGGGCAACCGGGACAGAATCCGGCGCCCCGACCGGGACTAGAACCCGGTGTGCCGGCGCCGCTAGGCGGAGGATTAGCCTACTGAGCCGCGGCGCCGGCCAGGAAAGTTTCTTTATGAAATGGCATTGGGAAAACTGGATGTCCGTGTGCAAAAGAATGAGACTGGACATTCTTACTCCATATGTAAAACCTAACTCAAAGTGGATAAAAAGACTGATTTGAAACCATAAAACTTCTAGTAAAAACATGGAAATAGGTTCTTTGATCTCGGTAGTTGTTTTGTATAAGACACCAAAAGCACAAGCAACAAAATAAACAGGTGGTACTACATCAAATTAAACAGTCTCCGCATAGCAAAGGAAACCAACAAGGTGAAAAGGCAACCTACAGGATGAGGAAAACGTTTTCAAGTCATGTATCTGATAACAGATAGTATTGAAAAGACGTAAGAAACCCATACAACTCAATACAAACAACCAAGTAACCCAATTTAAAAAATAAAGGACCTGAATAGACATTATAACCAAATGAAGCATACAAATGTCTTAGAGATCTGTAAAGAAGTACTCAGTCTCGGGGAAAGGCAAACCAGTACAATGAGCTGTTGTTTCACACCTGTGCAAGATGGCTGTTATTAAGACGAGGAAACAAGTACTGACAGATGTTTAAAAATGGAAATCTGGTGTGGTATACACTAGGTGGAAATATAAGTCAGTGTAGCCATTATAGGAAAAAGTATAGAGGGGTCTCAAAATTACAAATAGAACAATCTAGCAATCTCACTTCTGGGTTTAAATCCTAAAGAAATGGAATTGGTATTCCAAAGAGATACCCATACTCCCAAGTTCATTGCATCATTATTAGCAACAGCCAGGATATGAAAACACCTACATTTCCATCAATGGATGAAAAGATGAAGAAAATGTAGATTTTCTTCAATCACAAAAAGAAGGGAATACTGCCAACTTTAACAAGAGGCATGAACCTGGGGGACATGATGCTAGGTGAAATTATCCAGACACAGAAAGATAAGTGCTGTGTGATGTCACTTTCACATGGAATCTAAAAAGTCAAGCTTGCAAAAGCAGAGTCTAGTGGTGACTGGGTGCTAGGGAGCAGGGGAGATGAGGGAGTGTTGGGCAAATGGCACAAAGTCTCAGTTCTAAGTTGAACAAGTTGCAGGGGGTCTGATATGCAGCATGCATGGTGATCTCAGTATTAATCCGAGTGATAACCATGACACGATGTACATGTCTGAGCAGCACACACACAGGAGAGGGGTTCTAAGGCAGAGAAGAGCAGAATCGCAAGGTTGACCTGGGAGGATCCTTGCCCATGTTTTTCGGGGACAAATAGGTAACTCCTAATGTCCTTGATTTAGTTGAAGTAATTGGCTGTGCTATCTACAGATCTACAAACCTAATTAACATACATGTCTCGAAAAACACAAGGTTCTCATTTTTTAGTGCTGTGTCTGCTTTTAAATGATCAGATTTAATAGAGAGCAATAGTGAAACGTGATTGCCTCCAATAATTTCTTGGCGTGTTTATTCACTTGACACTGTTCTCTCTCTCACTAGAAAGTCGAAGTCCCCAGCTACTGAGTGGGTTCTCCTCTTTAGAAAACTCAGAAACTGAAGACAAAACATCTAAGGTACTTTTTTTTCTTTTTTTCAGTTTGTCTGAAAGGCAGAATGACAGAAAGCTTGATCGTGTTCATAGTAGAGATAGGCACAGAGCGGTCTTCTGTCTGCTGATTGACTCCCCCAATGCCTACAACATCCAGGGCTGGGCCAGCCCAGGCCAGAGCTAGGAGCCTAGAACTCCATCCTGGTCTCCAGCTTGGGTGGTAGGCACTTAAGTACTTCAGCTGTCATTTGCTGCCTACCAGGAAGCTGGATCGAACATGGAGTAGTCAGGACTCCAACCAGGCACTGCAATATATGGAATCGGGCGTCCCAAGAGGCGGCTTAACCCATTCTACCACTACGCCCACCCCTAAGGTACTATTTTAATTGTTAGCTAGTCACCTGGCTTCCCCCCCCATTAATATTTATATAACATACATGCTTGTCATTTTTAAGGGAATAATATAAACCACTTATGTCTCAATTACATAACTATATACATGTATATGTGGTTTGTTTCTTTTGTTTTTTAAGATTGGGAACCAAGAATCAACAATGGAAAATACTAGCTTCAAACATAAGCTGCAAAACATGGAAGACAGAGGTAAGAGAAGGATAAACTCATTTTGCAGAAGGTAGTGAAAGTAATCAGACCGTGGCAGATAAAAGCACTGTGCAGAGTGACCATGGCCAGGCCACAGGCCGAGCAGTGAGTGGCTTTCCCAGCTCCAAACGTTCACAAAAGTCCAGGGAGTAACTGGGGCTCTGCTTGGGAGCCAGACTCGCTAGTGCCGAGGCAGGGACGGTCCAGGACCTGGATCCCATCAGCCGTCCTCCTGCCCAGCAGGAGAGAGAGGCCCGGGGAGGGCGCTTTGCTGGGGATGCCAACGCCAGAGCTCATCTCATCCCCACATATGTAGGTCACTTGCAATTCATAAGTAATGTCCTAAGCAGTTATGTGGCCAGGTTATTAATCATTCTGAATTAATTTTCTCAGGGTGACAATGGTATGAAGGTTTCCAGGTGACTTCACAGTATTGCATCTGTATGATAATGTATTACTATGAAATATGAATATACAATGTGTTAATATATTAATGTAACAAATAGAACATTTTTTTTAAAGATTTATTTATTTGAAAGGCAGAGTTAGGGAGAGACCGAGATCTTCCATCTGCAGGTTTACTCCCCAAATGGCTGCAATGGCCAGGGCTGGGCCAATCCGAAGCCAGGAACCTGGAATTCCATCTGAGTCTCTCACATGGGTGGCAGTGGCCCAAGCACCTGGACCACCTTCTGTTGCTTTCCTAGGTGCATTAGCAGGGGGCGAGATTGGAAATGGAGCAGCTGGGACTTGAACCCAGAGCTCTGGCGAGATGCTGGTGTCACAGGTGGTAGGTTAGCCCGCTGTGCCGCAATGCCGGTTCCACACATAGCCACTCATTCTATTTCTTAGCTGCATCTCTTTTCCTTGATATTTTAAATTAAACATGAAAATGGTTCAAATGGCTATGACTTATATGCAGAATGTTTAGAATATCCACAGAAGTATCTATGAGCCACCCTCCAGTTTTAGAGAGAGAACACTGCTGTTGCTTTGAAAATTCGGCCTTGCTCCAACCTAAACCTCCCATCCCAGCACCTCAATTGGAGATACTAGCCTTAGATGCCACTGATTTTTCCCCCTACTTCTGCATTGTGAAAAATGTGATTCTTGTAGAAGTTGTACAATGTGTACATTTAACAAATGATTATAAAGTGAATGTGTGACCACTGCGCAGGCTGAGAGCTTTGAAAGCTTCCATTAGCTTTGATTCCTGACCTCCTAGGTCGCTCCCTGTAAACTCCCCGTTCCTTGCAGAGCTAAGGACTGTCCTGAGTTTCGTGGAAATCCTTTGTAGTTGTTACCTGTCATCGTGCTTCCTCTGTGTGATCCCAAATCCTGCATTTGAGATGCACTAAATACTGATGTGAAAAGTGAACAGATGGCTTTATACTGGGTGATGTGAAAAGTGAACAGATGGCTTTATACTGGGTGTTTTGTGTGCGGGTTCGTTCCTTTGCTCGACATTTACCAGAGCCCTTCGCATTGATGCCCCCGGGTGAAGTACGTTCCCCCCACCCCAAGGTCACCTCAGTTACGTGAAGATATAGCCCGAGGCAGCATTTCAGTGGGATATGGGGCATTTGTGATTTAGCAGGATCAGGTTTGTATAAATGACACTGGAAAGTGTAATGTGCCTTTCTTCTGATACAAACGCGTACAATTGCTAGGTTATAGAGTATGTTTATCTTTAGCACTCTTAGATGTTTCTGTTTTTCCTAAGTAGCTGTTTCAATTTCATTTCCTACCAGCTCTGTATGTGAGTTTTGTGGTTCCATATCCTTGTTATTATTTTAAATGTCTTTAAATCGTGTTAGATTTTAAACTATACATAAAATTATACATATTTATGAAGTATTGCATGACGTCCCAATGGTGTACATCATTTAATAAGGATAAATAGAACTACTATCTCTTTCTGGTGAAAAGATGAAAGGTTCTCTTTGTTGGCCTTTATTCTATATGTGTATGTATATGTGTGTGTATTTTATAGAAGTAGGGGCGAAGGGACATTGCTTTATCTAGTCAGCCTACTGTGTGAGAGATCACCAAAACTCCTTTCTCCTAACTGCAACTTAGTACCAGCCAATCACCCTTTCCCCCACCCTCCCTCCCTGCTACTCTTCCCAGCCCTTAGTAACCAACATTCTACTCTCAAATTCCATGTGATCGTTGTTTTTAGACTCCACACATGATTGGCAATATACCGTACTTGTCTTTGCCTGGCTTAATACGCTTAATGCAATGACATCCATGTTACAGATGATGGGATTCGTCCCCCCCCCCCCTTTTTTTTTTTTGACAGGCAGAGTTAGACAGAGAGAAAGGTCTTCCTTCCATTGGCTCACCCCCCCCAAATGGCCACCACGGCCTGTGCACTGCGCCAATCTGAAGCCAGGAGCCAGGTGCCCCCTCCCGGTCTCCCATGAGGGTGCAGGGCCCCAGCACCTGGGCCATCCTCCACTGCCTTCTCGGGCCACAGCAGAGAGCTGGACTGGAAGAGGAGCAACCGGGACAGAACCGGTGCCCCAACCAGGACTAGAACCCCGTGTGCCGGCGCCACAGGTGGAGGATTAGCCTAGTGAGCCGTGGCGCCGGCCAGGATTTGTCCTTTTTAGGACTGAGTAGCATTCCATTGTGTCTATGCACTGCGTCTCCTTTATTCCTCTGTATATGGACACTTGGGTTGTTTTTGTTGCCTTGCTGTTGGAGATAGTGCTGTGGTGAATATGGGAGTGAAGCTGTCTGTTTGACAAACTGATTTCAGTTATTTTATGTATACCCAGGTCGTGTGGTAGCTGTTTTTATTTTTGAAGAACCTCCATACTGTTTTCCACTAATGGCTGTGCTAATTTAAATTCCCATTAATATTGTAGAGATTCCCCTTTCTCCACATCCTCACCAGTCCTTGCTCTCCTGTCTTTTTGATAAGAGCCATTCTAACTGGAATGAAGTGGTATCTCATCGTGGTTTTAATTTGAATTTCCCTGATGATTAGTGGTATTGAGCGTGTTTTCCATTCTATGTATTGGCAATTTGCATGTCTTCCTTTGATAAATATCTAGTCAGATATCTTTCCTGGTTTTAATTATTTTTAAAGATTTATTTATTATTTGAAAGAGTTGGGGGGGGGAGTCAGAATGAAAGAGAATGAGAATATTGTTCATCTACTGGTTTACTCCTCGAAGGATCACAATGACCAGGGCTTGGGCCAGACCAAAGCAAGAGCTTCATCCAGGATTCCCAGGTAGGTGCAGGGGCCAAAGCACTTGGGATATCTGCCGCTACTTTCCCAGGCCATTAGCAGGGAGATGGATTGGAAGTAGAGCAGCTGGGACTTGAACCAGGGCTCATGTGGAATGCTGGTGCCGCAGGCGGTGGCTTTACTCACTGCACAATTCTGGCCCAAATTGGGTGGTTTTTGTTATTTGGGTTCCTTGTGTATTCTGGATGTGAACCACTTGTCAGATACATAGCTTGCAAACATTTTCTTCCATTCCAGAGGCTGGCTCTTCACTCTGATTATTTACTCCATTATGCAGAAGCTTGTCAGTCTGATGAAATCCTATGTCTGTTTTTGCTTTTGTTGCCTGTGTTTTTGGGATTTTATTCATAAAATTCATTGGCATTGTATATTCCAGTGTCCTGAATTATTTCCTAACTTTTTTTCTAAGAGTATAGCAGCTCAATATCTTTAGGTTTTTAATCCATTTTGAGTTGGGTTTTGTATATAGTGAAAGATAGGGTCTAAGTTTTCTGCATGTCTCATGTTATGTGCTCCATTTATTGAAGAGACCATCTCCAAAAGTATGTTCTTAGCAGCCTTGTCAGTTTTCTCTAGCTAGTGCCTGAGTTTGAAGAACTCCTTTTAGCATACCCTGTACACAGATCTGGTGGTGATCGGTTCTCTCAGCTTTTGCTTTACTGGGCATGTGTTTTTCTGTCTGTCATGTGTGAAGGGTAGCTTTGCTGAGTACAGTACTCTTGTTTGGCAGTTTTTTCTCTAAGTACTGCAAAGGGCTTTCCCAGCCCCACCTGGCCTGAAAGATTTCTGTCAGGAACTCCACAGTTGGACAAATCTGGACACCCCTATGTGTTGTTTTCTCTTGCAGCTCTGAGAGCTTGAGTATATGTATCTTGTGGTATAATTGCTTCAATTGAATCTGACTGTGACCTTTGACCTTCCCATCCATGGATAGTTGTATCTTTGTCTGGGTTTGGGACATTTTTCTGTTATCTCTCTGAATGTGCTTTCTACTCCTTTGGACTTCTCAAGTCCCTCTTAAAGTTTCCAAAACTCAGATGCTTCTTATTTTAATGCTCTGCCAACATTCCCATAAGCTTCCTTCATTCCTACTCATTCTTTTTTCTTGTTTCTGTTCAGTGTATTTCAAATAGCCTGCCTTCATGCTCACTACTAATTTCCCACTTGACCTATTGATACCTTTTCTTGCCTTGTAAATTTGCTTAGTGTTGGTGTACTTTTATGCTCAAAAACTTCTAAATACTCTCCTTTGAGTATCTCTGTTAGGGTAATTTTTTTTTAATTTACTTGAAAGGCAGAGTTACAGAGAAGCAGAGAGAAAGAGAGGTCTTCTATCTGCTGGTTCACTCCCCAGATGTCTGCAGCAGCCAGAGCTGTGTTGATCCAAAGTCTGGAGCTTCCTCTGGGTCTCCCACACAGGTGCAGGGGCCCAAGGACTTGGGACATCTTCTACACTTTCCCAGGCCATAGCAGAGAGCTGGATCTGAAGTGGAGCAGCTGGGACTTGAACCGGCACCCACATGGGATGCCAACACTGCAGGCAGCCACTTTACCCACTACACCACAGCACCAGCCCCTCTCTGTGTCTTCTGAGTTACTCAAATTTCCTTAAAACATGTTTAAAATTCTGTGTCTAAGAACTTTATCAGTCGATCTCTCCTTGGTTTCTGGTTCCTTATTTGTTCGTTGGGTGAAGTCCTGGTTCCCTGGGAGTCCTTGATGCTTGCTGGCACATGCTGTCATCTGCATGTCAGAGGATTAGAGCTTTTCTTCCAGTCTTCATAAGCTGGTATTAGTCCTCCCAGAAATTCTAAGCAGTCTGCTTATTTTCTCTGAGTCAGTGCATGTTACTGCTATTCCAGTGCTAGAGAATGCCCTCTGTTGAGGGTGGCTGCAAGTTCTCCATAGGCTGTTGTCTAGTGCTTCAACACTAGAGGATGCCCAAGTCCAGACTTGTCCTAAATGTGGACACAGTAAATTCAGGATGAACTTGAAAAGTGTCTACAGAGGGGCAGTCTGTTTTCTCAAGCCTCTTCCTAGGGCTAGATAGGCCCAGACTCTGGTCATTGCTCCAGGTTGCAGCGGAGTATCCAGGGTAGCACCTGGGTTGGGCATGGTAGATCTCATACCCAGCTACTCCCTGCC